CTTAGAAAAATAAAAAAAAATAAAATCATAACAATCGATCAATGGGCAATTTCGTTGTAGTCTAGTTGGTTAGGATACTCGGCTCTCACCCGAGAGACCTGGGTTCAAGTCCTGGCAACGGAATTTCAATTTTCGTTTATTATTTTTTTGTAAAAACGGCCGTGAGCTCTGCCTTGTAAATCTCCCTTAGAAAAATAAAAAAAAATAAAATCATAACAATCGATCAATGGGCAATTCCGTTGTAGTCTAGTTGGTTAGGATACTCGGCTCTCACCCGAGAGACCCGGGTTCAAGTCCCGGCAACGGAATTTCAATTTTCGTTTATTATTTTTTTTGTAAAAACGGCCGTGAGCTCTCCCTTGTAAATCTCCCTTAGAAAAATAAAAAAAAATAAAATCATAACAATCGATCAATGGGCAATTCCGTTGTAGTCTAGTTGGTTAGGATACTCGGCTCTCACCCGAGAGACCCGGGTTCAAGTCCCGGCAACGGAATTTCAATTTTCGTTTATTATTTTTTTGTAAAAACGGCCGTGAGCTCTGCCTTGTAAATCTCCCTTAGAAAAATAAAAAAAATAAAATCATAACAATCGATCAATGGGCAATTCCGTTGTAGTCTAGTTGGTTAGGATACTCGGCTCTCACCCGAGAGACCCGGGTTCAAGTCCCGGCAACGGAATTTCAATTTTCGTTTATTATTTTTTTTGTAAAAACGGCCGTGAGCTCTGCCTTGTAAATCTCCCTTAGAAAAATAAAAAAAAATAAAATCATAACAATCGATCAATGGGCAATTCCGTTGTAGTCTAGTTGGTTAGGATACTCGGCTCTCACCCGAGAGACCCGGGTTCAAGTCCCGGCAACGGAATTTCAATTTTCGTTTATTATTTTTTTTGTAAAAACGGCCGTGAGCTCTGCCTTGTAAATCTCCCTTAGAAAAATAAAAAAAATAAAATCATAACAATCGATCAATGGGCAATTCCGTTGTAGTCTAGTTGGTTAGGATACTTGGCTCTCACCCGAGAGACCCGGGTTCAAGTCCCGGCAACGGAATTTCAATTTTCGTTTATTATTTTTTTTGTAAAAACGGCCGTGAGCTCTGCCTTGTAAATCTCCCTTAGAAAAATAAAAAAAATAAAATCATAACAATCGATCAATGGGCAATTCCGTTGTAGTCTAGTTGGTTAGGATACACGGCTCTCACCCGAGAGACCTGGGTTCAAGTCCCGGCAACGGAATTTCAATTTTCGTTTATTATTTTTTTGTAAAAACGGCCGTGAGCTCTGCCTTGTAAATCTCCCTTAGAAAAATAAAAAAAATAAAATCATAACAATCGATCAATGGGCAATTCCGTTGTAGTCTAGTTGGTTAGGATACTCGGCTCTCACCCGAGAGACCCGGGTTCAAGTCCCGGCAACGGAATTTCAATTTTTGTTTATTATTTTTTTTGTAAAAACGGCCGTGAGCTCTGCCTTGTAAATCTCCCTTAGAAAAATAAAAAAAATAAAATCATAACAATCGATCAATGGGCAATTCCGTTGTAGTCTAGTTGGTTAGGATACTCGGCTCTCACCCGAGAGACCCGGGTTCAAGTCCCGGCAACGGAATTTCAATTTTCGTTTATTATTTTTTTGTAAAAACGGCCGTGAGCTCTGCCTTGTAAATCTCCCTTAGAAAAATAAAAAAAAATAAAATCATAACAATCGATCAATGGGCAATTTCGTTGTAGTCTAGTTGGTTAGGATACTCGGCTCTCCCCCGAGAGACCCGGGTTCAAGTCCCGGCAACGGAATTTCAATTTTCGTTTATTATTTTTTTGTAAAAACGGCCGTGAGCTCTGCCTTGTAAATCTCCCTTAGAAAAATAAAAAAAAATAAAATCATAACAATCGATCAATGGGCAATTTCGTTGTAGTCTAGTTGGTTAGGATACTCGGCTCTCCCCCGAGAGACCCGGGTTCAAGTCCCGGCAACGGAATTTCAATTTTCGTTTATTATTTTTTTGTAAAAACGGCCGTGAGCTCTGCCTTGTAAATCTCCCTTAGAAAAATAAAAAAAAATAAAATCATAACAATCGATCAATGGGCAATTTCGTTGTAGTCTAGTTGGTTAGGATACTCGGCTCTCCCCCGAGAGACCCGGGTTCAAGTCCCGGCAACGGAATTTCAATTTTCGTTTATTATTTTTTTGTAAAAACGGCCGTGAGCTCTGCCTTGTAAATCTCCCTTAGAAAAATAAAAAAAAATAAAATCATAACAATCGATCAATGGGCAATTTCGTTGTAGTCTAGTTGGTTAGGATACTCGGCTCTCCCCCGAGAGACCCGGGTTCAAGTCCCGGCAACGGAATTTCAATTTTCGTTTATTATTTTTTTGTAAAAACGGCCGTGAGCTCTGCCTTGTAAATCTCCCTTAGAAAAATAAAAAAAAATAAAATCATAACAATCGATCAATGGGCAATTTCGTTGTAGTCTAGTTGGTTAGGATACTCGGCTCTCCCCCGAGAGACCCGGGTTCAAGTCCCGGCAACGGAATTTCAATTTTCGTTTATTATTTTTTTGTAAAAACGGCCGTGAGCTCTGCCTTGTAAATCTCCCTTAGAAAAATAAAAAAAAATAAAATCATAACAATCGATCAATGGGCAATTTCGTTGTAGTCTAGTTGGTTAGGATACTCGGCTCTCCCCCGAGAGACCCGGGTTCAAGTCCCGGCAACGGAATTTCAATTTTCGTTTATTATTTTTTTGTAAAAACGGCCGTGAGCTCTGCCTTGTAAATCTCCCTTAGAAAAATAAAAAAAAATAAAATCATAACAATCGATCAATGGGCAATTTCGTTGTAGTCTAGTTGGTTAGGATACTCGGCTCTCCCCCGAGAGACCCGGGTTCAAGTCCCGGCAACGGAATTTCAATTTTCGTTTATTATTTTTTTGTAAAAACGGCCGTGAGCTCTGCCTTGTAAATCTCCCTTAGAAAAATAAAAAAAAATAAAATCATAACAATCGATCAATGGGCAATTTCGTTGTAGTCTAGTTGGTTAGGATACTCGGCTCTCCCCCGAGAGACCCGGGTTCAAGTCCCGGCAACGGAATTTCAATTTTCGTTTATTATTTTTTTGTAAAAACGGCCGTGAGCTCTGCCTTGTAAATCTCCCTTAGAAAAATAAAAAAAAATAAAATCATAACAATCGATCAATGGGCAATTTCGTTGTAGTCTAGTTGGTTAGGATACTCGGCTCTCACCCGAGAGACCCGGGTTCAAGTCCCGGCAACGGAATTTCAATTTTCGTTTATTATTTTTTTGTAAAAACGGCCGTGAGCTCTGCCTTGTAAATCTCCCTTAGAAAAATAAAAAAAAATAAAATCATAACAATCGATCAATGGGCAATTTCGTTGTAGTCTAGTTGGTTAGGATACTCGGCTCTCACCCGAGAGACCCGGGTTCAAGTCCCGGCAACGGAATTTCAATTTTCGTTTATTATTTTTTTGTAAAAACGGCCGTGAGCTCTGCCTTGTAAATCTCCCTTAGAAAAATAAAAAAAAATAAAATCATAACAATCGATCAATGGGCAATTTCGTTGTAGTCTAGTTGGTTAGGATACTCGGCTCTCACCCGAGAGACCCGGGTTCAAGTCCCGGTAACGGAATTTCAATTTTCGTTTATTATTTTTTTTGTAAAAACGGCCGTGAGCTCTGCCTTGTAAATCTCCCTTAGAAAAATAAAAAAAATAAAATCATAACAATCGATCAATGAGCAATTTCGTTGTAGTCTAGTTGGTTAGGATACTTGGCTCTCACCCGAGAGACCCGGGTTCAAGTCCCGGCAACGGAATTTCAATTTTCGTTTATTATTTTTTTTGTAAAAACGGCCGTGAGCTCTGCCTTGTAAATCTCCCTTAGAAAAATAAAAAAAATAAAATCATAACAATCGATCAATGGGCAATTCCGTTGTAGTCTAGTTGGTTAGGATACTCGGCTCTCACCCGAGAGACCCGGGTTCAAGTCCCGGCAACGGAATTTCAATTTTCGTTTATTATTTTTTTTGGAAAAACGGCCGTGAGCTCTGCCTTGTAAATCTCCCTTAGAAAAATAAAAAAAATAAAATCATAACAATCGATCAATGGGCAATTTCGTTGTAGTCTAGTTGGTTAGGATACTCGGCTCTCACCCGAGAGACCCGGGTTCAAGTCCCGGCAACGGAATTTCAATTTTCGTTTATTATTTTTTTTGTAAAAACGGCCGTGAGCTCTGCCTTGTAAATCTCCCTTAGAAAAATAAAAAAAATAAAATCATAACAATCGATCAATGGGCAATTCCGTTGTAGTCTAGTTGGTTAGGATACTCGGCTCTCACCCGAGAGACCCGGGTTCAAGTCCCGGCAACGGAATTTCAATTTTCGTTTATTATTTTTTTTGTAAAAACGGCCGTGAGCTCTGCCTTGTAAATCTCCCTTAGAAAAATAAAAAAAATAAAATCATAACAATCGATCAATGGGCAATTTCGTTGTAGTCTAGTTGGTTAGGATACTCGGCTCTCACCCGAGAGACCTGGGTTTAAGTCCCGGCAACGGAATTTCAATTTTCGTTTATTATTTTTTTTGTAAAAACGGTCGTGAGCTCTGCCTTGTATATCTCCCTTAGAAAAATAAAAAAAATAAAATCATAACAATCGATCAATGGGCAATTCCGTTGTAGTCTAGTTTGTTAGGATACTCGGCTCTCACTCGAGAGACCTGGGTTCAAGTCCTGGCAATGGAATTTTAATTTTCGTTTATTATTTTTTTTGTAAAAACAGCCATGAGCTATAACAACCAATTGATGAGTAATTCTGCTGTAGTCTAGTTGGTTAGGATACTCGGTGCTCACCTGAGAGACCCGTTCAAGTCCCGGCAACAGAAACTCAATTTTCGTTTATTATTTTTTTTGTAAAATCAGCCGTGAGCTCTTCGTTGTAAATCTTCCTTAGAAAAATAAAAAAAATAAAATCATAACAACCAATTGATGGTTAATTCTGTTGTAGTTTAGTTGGTTAGGATACTCGACTCTCATTCGAGAGACTCGAGTTCAAGTCTCGGCAACGGAATTTCAATTTTTATTTATTATTTTTTTTGTAAAAACAAGTGTGAGCTAAATCTTTCTTAGAAAACTAAAAAAAATAAAATCATAACAACTAATCAATGGGTAATTCCATTGTAGTCTATTTGGTTAGGATACTTGGCTCTTACCCGAGAGACCTGGGTTCAAGTCCTGGCAATGTAATTTCAATTTTTGTTTATTATTATTATTTTTTTTTTTGTAAAAACAGCCCTTAAAAAAATAAATAAAATAAAATCATAACAATCAATCATTGGGCAATTTCGTTGTAGTCTAGTTGGTTAGTATACTTGGCCCTCACCCTCACTTTAGAGACCTGGGTTTAAGTCTTGGTAACAGAATTTCAATTTAAAAAAAAAATCAAAAAAAAAAAAAATCATAACAATGGGCAATTTTGTTGTAGTCTGGTTTGTTAAAATACCCAGCTCTCACTCAAAATAAAATCATAACAATGGGTAATTTTGTTGTAGTCTGGTTTGTTAAAATACCCAGCTCTCACTCGAGAGACCCGGGTTCAAGTCCCGGCAATTGAATTCTTACTTATTATTTTTTTTTGAAAAAACAGTCGTGAGTTCTGTCTTTTAAATCTTGCTTAGAAAAATAAAAAAAATAAAAGCATAACAATCGATTAATGGGTAATTCTGTTGTAGTCTAGTTGGTTAGGATATTCGGCTCTCACTCATGAGACCTGGGTTCAAGTCCCTGCAACAAAATTTCAATTTTTGTTTATTATTTTTTTTGTAAAAACAGTCGTGAGTTCTGCCTTGTAAATGTTCCTTAGAAAAATAAAAAAATAAATAAAATCATAACAACTGATCTATGGGCAATTCTGTTGTAGTCTAGTTGGTTAGGATACTTGGTTCTCACCTGAGAGACTCAGGTTCAAGTCCCAACAACGTAATTTGAATTTTCTTTTATTATTATTTTTTTAAAAAAACATCCGTGAGTTCTGCCATGTAAATCTACCTTAGACAAATAAAAAAAATAAATCATAACAACCGATCGATGGACAATTCCATTGTAGTTTAGTTGGTTAGGATACTTAACTCTCACCCGAGAAACCCTGTTTCAAGTTGCGTTGATTGATGAGCAATTCCGTTGTAGCCTATAGTTGGTTAGGATATTTAGCTCTCACTTGAGATACTCAAGTTAAAGTCTCGGAATATGAATGGGTAATGTGTTAGTTGGGTGGTAGAAATAATTTCTTTTTTGGAAAAAGAAATCAAATATTGAATATTAAATATATTAGAATTCATGGACCAAAATTAAATGAATTGCCTCAAAATTGGGACCAAAATGAATTTTAAAAAATGAAAACTAAAGGCACACGGTTTGTATTGTGAGGTTGGAAGAAAATTTGGGGCAAATTTAATAGGGCAATCCAATGGTCAACATATTGATTGGACCCGACACATGGATTATTAGAATACTGACCACATGGATTATTAGAATACTGAAAGTTTAATAGCTAAGTTCCGGGGCTTAATGTAACTCACAGTCTAATCTCAAATAATTTCGAGACTTCTACCTCAAAATAAAATCGATATGATGTTAGCTATAATAATAATATTTATTTATTTAGTATTAAAATGTGTAATTTTTTTAAAACGAAGTCACATTTATCAGTTATCCATATTAAGATTTTTTTTAAAAATAAAACTATATAAAAAATTTATTGAAATTTATCTATCTTTGTGTATTCAAATGGTACCTATATATATATAATGAATAACTTTTATAACTAATTAAGTTAATGGGAAATAAAATAACAACAAAATTAAAATAAAATAAACTAAAATTTGATTTTATCATCTAATTTATTTTTATTAAATTTAATTAAGTTAAATTATTATGTTTTAAAAAGATTTAACATTTGATACCTATTAAACCAAAAAAAATAAAAATTAATTAAATATCACGACTAAAATGTGTAATAATTTTATTTCTTTTAGTTTAATATAAATTTAAATATTAAACTTTTTAAATAAAAGTCAAATCCCATCGTGTGTGTATATAATATATAATATTAATATTATATTTTCAGAACTCTTAAGAAAGTGGACGGCACGTATTCCTCACGACCATGCAACTTCTTTTACATTATCTATTTAAATATTACTCTTTTTTTTTCTTCATTTTTTTTCATATATTTAAATATATATAATATGAAATGTCACTTGTTCCATTAAGATAAATATTTACCTATATTGCCAACCTATATGAAAAAATTATAAAAAAAAAAAAAAAAGAAAATTGAAAGAAGAGCAAATTATTGTGTCTAAATTTTTGGAAAATAAAATAGGATATTTTAATTAAAAAAATATTTTGAAATTTAGACTAAAATTTCGAGAATATTTTAATTTAATGTGGTTGGTTTTATTATTGTTTGGTGCATATTCAAAATTTTAAAAATTATGGTTAGAAAATAATTCTTAATTATTTTCCATTATAAAGATGAATCAATTAATTGATTAATAAGATAAGTAAAAAATCATTAATAATTTTTAATTAAATATTATAATGTAAATTTTTTAATTACTTTTAATAATAATAATAATAAATTAGTGACAATTAACTAATTAATATAAAAATTAACCTAAGAACCAAATAAAAAAGGTAATATTTTGAAATCTATGGATAGAATATTATTTTGAAAATTCAATAAATAAATAAAAAAATTTAGATAGACATAATATATTTACAATATCGCTCTGGATTTGAAAGCTTGAAATTGTGTATAAACTCTATTTCCATGGCGGAATTCCCCTGTTTTCTCTGGTCCTAAAGTTGCAGAGCTGCTTCCCTCTCTTTTTCCAAAAGAAACAAAAAGAAATTTCAGAGAAAGAAAAAGGGAAAAGAAAGCAACCCACAAGGAGGGAATAGCAATTCAAAAATCCTTTAACTCTCTTCTTCTTCTTCTTCAAAATTCAAATTTATTAACCAAACCAGAGCTTCCAATGGAGAAATTCTCCATCTCCGACCAAAAATTTCACCTGGGTTTCTGCCCTTCCTCCTCTTCCATGGATCTAAATGACCCATCCACCGTTTCTGAAACTTCCGGCCAATCTCCGCCCAGCCTCGCCTACTCTTTCTCTTACTGCAGAACCAGCTCCGACGCCTCTGCCTTCTCCGACCCCACCACCGACGATACCAGTTTCTGCACTGAGCCCTCTCCAGCGATTCCCACCAGAAAATATAAACTCAACGCCGGAGATAAAGCCGACGATCAAGACGCCATGGATTCCGGTGAGTGGGTTTTGTGAATTTTCTCCCCCTTCTTACAAAATCACAAGTTTTTTTTTTAACATTGTTGCAGAAACAGAGATGATGAAGGAGAGATTTGCGAAGCTTTTGCTCGGAGAAGACATGTCCGGAAGTGGGAAAGGGGTTTGCACGGCGGTTACAATCTCAAACGCCATTACTAATCTCTATGGTCAGATTTTTCTTTTTCCGAACTGTTCTAACTTTTTTTGATTCTGGGTCTTAACTTTTGGCTCTGTTTTTTGGTCTGATCAGCGACTGTGTTCGGACAGAATCTGAAACTGGAGCCGTTGCCGGCGGAGAAGAAGGCGATGTGGAAGAGAGAAATGGCTTGTCTGTTATCTGTTTGTGATTACATTCTTGAGTTCTTCACTGAATCTCAAACCTTGGACGATGGAACAACAATGGAGGTCACATTTCTCTGTCCTTTTCAGAACAAAATTGGTTCTGTTTTAGAACAAAATTGTCCGTCGGCTAGGATGTCGGTTTTAATGATGTTTTTTTTTTCAGGTTTTGAACAGCCGACAAAGGTCAGATATATACCTAAACCTTCCAGCATTGGAAAAGCTTGACATGATGCTCTTGGTAAATATTATTAATAACTTTGTAATTGAACTTCGGTTGAATATTTTGAGAGTGATCCATCAATCTTGTTTGGTTTTGGGTTGGCAGGATATTTTGGATAGTTTTCACGACACGGAGTTTTGGTATGCTGAAAAAGGAAGTATGTCGTCGAACTCGAACTCGAATCGTTCGAAATCGGCTTCGTTTCGCCGACTTTCGCTGCAGAAAGAAGAGAAATGGTGGTTACCAGTTCCTTGCCTTCCTTCATGTGGTCTATCAGAGAAAGCACGAAAACAACTAAGAAATAATCGTGAATTTGCGAATCAAATCCATAAAGCTGCTATGGCTATTAACAGTACTATTCTTGCTGAAATGGATATACCTGAGTCATACATCGACACTCTTCCAAAGGTTAGTCCTCCAACCAATCGTAGGAAGATAGCAATCTTTACTTTCGACCAGTGTAAATCCGTTTTCTGATTGGTTTTCACAAAACAACCCATTTTTCATTTTTTCAGAGTGGAAAAACGAGTATAGGCGATACGATGTACCGTTATATGTACAGTGCTGACAAATTCTCGCCCGATCATTTGCTCGATTGCTTGAACATAGGATCTGAACACGATGCGCTCGAACTTGCAGACCGGATTGAGGCTTCGATGTATACATGGAGAAGGAAAGCATGTCTAAGCCACTCAAAATCATCGTGGGAATTGGTAAAAGATCTAATGGCTGAAGGTGATAAAGGTGACAAGAACACTATCTTAGCTGAAAGAGCCGAGAGCTTGCTTTTGTCCTTGAAACAACGGTTCCCTGAACTTTCTCAAACAACCTTAGACACTAGTAAGATTCAATACAACAGGGTAAGTTAAGAGTATATGTCTTGTCCACTTACGCTCTTCTCGATTTTTGAATTTTTAAAAGTGCATGTTAGATACAAAATTGAAAGTTTATGGATCAAATATGCGTTAAATTAAAAGTTTAAAGATCTATTAAACCCATTTTAGAATCCCGATGCTTATAAGATTTGATGTTGTAGGACGTGGGACAAGCAGTGTTGGAGAGTTATTCGAGGGTGTTGGAAGGACTGGCATTTAACGTTGTGGCATGGATTGAAGATGTTCTTTTTGCTGATAGGTCCCTATGAAACCAAGAGTAGGATCTCCTCTCTTACCAAGAAAAGGAAATGTTTAGTTGTTTGTTTATGTTGTACGGTCACAATTTGTATAAAAACTATGTTGTTAGGTTGGGACAAAGGGTTCCTCCCTATTTGTAGAATGTATTTATCTTTTAGGTTAAAGTTACACGGAAAATTGTACCTTTTTTTTTTAATCGGTTTGATTGAAAAGGCATAGTCACTTACCTAAATTATCTTCTTCTCGAGTAAAAAACACTTATCCATCTAAAAAAAATAGGGGTACATACGAGTTGGGTTAGAAAAATCTTTTAGACTAACCTGAAATTTTAAGTTAGCTGAGTGTGACTCAAACAATCTAGATAGAGCTTACCATCGAACCCAACTAGACTCAGGTTGGGTCGGGTTCCAGGTTATTCTTTTTTTCACCGGTATACCCTCAAAAGACATTGGCATATGACTATTAATATTGCATTGATTGATTATCTATCGAATATTTAGTGTTTTGTCCTGTTTTCTAAATTATTATTCGATTTAAAATGGGTCAAAACTTTAAAATTTGTATTTGTTTAGTCCTTTAGATTTAATAAAAAAAAAAAATTAACTTACATTTTTGTATTTAATATATCACCCAACAAAAAAAAATTAATTTTGTATTCTTTTTTTACTTTTCAAATAAAATTAATAGACATAAAAATATAAAATTTAATTTTGTACTATATTGATGGATTAATTTTTTAATTTTTTTAAATTAGAAAATCCAGTAAACAAGGTAGCCATGTAAAATTCGAGCTTCAAGGAAAATATTGACGTATGTTCGAGCCTTGGCTCACGTTTGACAGAAATGTTATAATGTTTTTTAAAGGAATCAATGTAGGCTAAAAATGAATAAGTAACAACAATGACTTTAATAGCATATAACTCGAGTAGGAAGAATTGACAACTAGTTATATTCCCTATAATACATTTTGGGGCATTTTTGCCGTGACAGGTTTAGACATGATTTTGGTAGTCTAAACAAATCTAACCAAAACATTTGACACATTCACGGACAATACTCATTAGACAAACATAACAGTGACACTTGACACATATCTTTGTAATATAATAATCATAAATGTGAATGAACGAACCAATTTTCTAATTTAGAGATATAACTTAAAAAAATTTATTTGAATTTATTTCTTTTTATCATCTTCAAAGTACATAAAACTCATCAATGTAACCTATAATAATAATTATTTTTTTTATTATTTATTACTAAAAATAAAATTTGAAATATTTAAAATGTAATTTTTAAAAATATATAATGAAAATACAAATGTTTAAAAAAAACTTTAAAAATCCAAAAAAAATTATAATTCCAACGATTGAATCGTGTTTGAAAAAGGTCTCAACTCTGCAATAGAAAAATTAGTCAATAAAATTGCATCTTTCTGTCCTTTCTCCCTCGCTCCCTCACCCTCCGGCGGCACCCACTCTTCTCCGGCAAGCACGTACTCCCCTTGTCGAACCATATCCTGCGACGGCGATAGACCCACCTGGAAGGCGGTCGACCCCCACGAACATCCTTGCAGTAACCCTCTCCTCCCGGCGCCACTTACAAGAGGTAAAATCTAGTTTAATCCAACTCCATTAGGGTCGCTTACATCGATTGAGTTTACAATTCTGCTCAATTAGTTCTGAAAACCCTTATTTCGGATCGTTTGGATTTTTAGCGCCCCGAAAATTCGTTACTGGCCTCTTACTCGGGTACTCGTGCGCTGCATTGTTTGATTATTGTACGATTTTTTTGCTTAATAAATGTGGAGTTGATTGAGTAGCCCACTGTAAATTCTAGTGAGATTATTTAGGGTTTGAGTGTGTATTTTGGATTCTTGATATTGATATTAGAAAACGTAGGGGCGTTTCATTCCGTGACGGTTGTTAAGTTCAAAATTCCTGCAGAAATCCTTACAATTTCATCGTAGATTGCCTGATTATTTGCAGTATAGCGGTCTTGAAGTTGCAGCAGCAAGGTCAATGAGTAGCAACATGGAAAGGCCGCAGAAATCTAAACCTCCCGAAATTATTAAGTTGAATGACGCAGCGAAATTGGTAATAAATTAAAATTTCTTTACTCAGTTCATCATGGTTCTGAATTTGTTCTTATTTGCGTTCTCCTTCATTGTTGTTTTTTTTGTTAGGATTGTTTTTTCTTGTTTGATTGGATAGCTTTCAACTTTTCCTCAGTTTTCTGTTGACAAAACTTCAAATCTTGTAGAGAAATTTGGCACACTCTAAGATTATTATGTTGCAACATGAGCTCACTAACATGTCAACTAGTTAAGATATATGCTCTGATTAGGTTCGATGTTCGAATTTCTCCGCTATACGTGTTGAACTCAAAAAGATTGTATTGTAACATGAGTAAAGATTTGTGATTAAATAAGTGTCTCACATTTGAAGTCTATGTTAAAGTGAAATTCTGGGCCTTCCTATGAAGACCTATGTTTATGGATTCGAGAAATCTCTGGTTTAATATTACATCACGACGTTGTGCATAAAGAATCGTCCTGATATTTGATAAACGGAGTATCCATCTTACGTGCAGGCAGCGGAGTTGATGAGTAAGATGACAAATTGCGAATGGAAAGAAACTGCAAATGATAATAAATCAACCGTGGTAGAACCCGAAAATCGACCTCCTAGGTCAGTACTCAACTATCTGGATCTCTTACTAATGGCATTAGGCTGTTTTCTAACTAACTCTGGACCTGTTTCTGTAGACTTGGACTTGGAGCCAAAATAAGTAGCCAGTTCAGAAATGGACCTTCTAATGACCCACTTGATAGAAAATTATATGCCAAGTTGGACGCTGGGAAAAAGCAAGCTGCTAGAAAGATGTTGGAGGATACTCGTGTACTTAACAATGAAGATGACGACGACAACGATGATGAAGAAGAGAGTAAAACTGCCATGTTCGATAAGAAGCGAGCACCAACTCGAGTAACTATGCCTCCTTTCTGGACCAAGAAAAAGCGAAGGTAGTTTATTTTTTGTAGGTAGGGAATATTCTTGATTATCAAACGAGTTGTCTGATAGTAAAAAATTGTTACCCTATCGACTTTGATTTAGAAGGTAGTTTGTTAATTTATTGTGAGATCCTCTGTTGTAGAGAAAACGAAGAAGTCCAAAAGAGAAAACCCAAAGAGAACAATATCTTCTAGAGGTGGGCTTGGATGGTTAGATTTATGTTGGTATGATTGAACTTGTTTGGGCATATTTTGAATGACTTTGCAAGGTATTCCGAGGGATGGTAACATTTTTTTTTTTTTTTTTTTTTTTGTTTGAAATAATTAGATTGGTTAGGGATTATTTTTCCAATAATCTAGTTGGTGGTGCTAAACTGCAAGCCTTGGTTGGGTGTGAAGTTAGCTCGTTTCCCTCTTACCTATACCTCCCACTCGGGCGTAATCCTAGATCTCTTTTGGGTTGGAATCTCGTTGTGAGTAGGATTTGTGCTAGAATTTTATCTCAAACGATAAGATTTTTCTTGAAACGTGACAGACTTACTTTGGTCCAGTTTGTCTGGAGTGGATCCTTGTCTATTTCTTTTCTCTTTATTTACTTTGCCTATATTGAGTTGTCATTTAAACCATAAATTTTAAGATATTACATTTTTACTCTTAACTTTCGGGTTTAGTTTTAATTTGATCATTAAATTTCAAAATGTTAGAAATTTACCGTTGAATTTTGAGTTAAACCTTTCATAGTCTCAAGAAAATCTTACATTTTTATCTTTGAATTTTCACGTGGATCGTTGGTGTTCGACTTTTCATTAACTAATTTAAATATTATGAGGTAGAATTTTTTAATTAATTTTAAAAGTGATAGAAAGATGAATGATAATTCAAGAATAAAAATGTAATATTAAGAATGGGATATTTTGAAATAAATGTTTTAAGTTTTTATCAAATAATTCATCTTAAATAATTTTATAATTCAAAGGTCAGAAGTTTTTCTTTCAAAATTTTACCATAAATTATCTAAAAAAACAACAAATTTAAATGGCAATGTGCGGGCTCTGTATTTACCAATTAAAAGAAAAGGGGTTCGAATCCAATGCGGACGAGATCATCAATTGAACACGTGGGTGGTACTTATTGGTTAGAATGTGATAACTACGACGTGAAGTCGGACCAGCCTGCAATAAGGCACAATTTTTTATGTACGGCTGAATACGGAGGTTGGAACATGTTCAGACGGTAGCCACACCGACCTCTCATTGTCTCCCCACTCGCTTATACTTTTTGATCCTGAGCGTGGTTTGCACGCATTACCATGTATGAAATATATATATTTTTAACAAAAAAAAAAAAAAAAAAGAACTCAAACTTCATTACAATTTTTTTACTAATAAAATACAAATTTCTTAAATATTTTCTTTAAATTTGTTTAGTACCGTCTAAAAAATTAAATTAATAAAAATATTTTTAAATATAGCACTTTATCTAAAAAGTACTAAAAAAAATTTAAATGATATTTATAAACTTGTTGAACTTAAAAAGAATATATATATTCAGAAATATTCTTACCGTTAATATTTTGTTTTAAAACACTCTTAAATTTTTAAAAAATTCTAAAAAATATCCTTTTAACTATTGAATTTTAAAAAATACATTTTTTTTAAAAGAAATACTCTTATTCTAATATATTTAAAAAAAACTCGTAAACTTTCAAAAGAATATTAAAAAGTTTGAAGATACTCTATGAGCTGACGTCATGCATTTTTTTATACATATATTGACCGTAAATTTATTTTTATTTTTTTTATAAAAATAAAAAGTATAATTTCATGAGTATTTTTTAAACAAAATACTAACAATTAAAAAACACCATTATAAGTTTAAAGGATATTTATTATTTTTATTATTTAATTTAGTTTAAGGGTATTATTGAAACTTTTTTAAAATTTAGAAATTGTTATTATATTTATTATTATTTCATCCTACCTAAGGTATTGTATAACTTTGAAATATTATCAGCCTTTTGTTTTAATTATACATTTACATAAATATTATCAATAACATTTTTTTTAAAGTCATAGTTCAAATATCTATTTCCAGATTTTAATTATAATAAATAAAAGAAAATACATCCCGAGCTTTCGGGACCAAAT